CCTCCAGGCTCGTTATACCCTCGTCAAGGGTACGCGGGCCAGCTGCAGCGCCCGCGACCCGCAGGAGGGGTGTGCCGAAATCAGCGTCGGGTCTCCGCGGCCTCTCGAGGTTTTTCGGGGCCTGTCCTGCAGGGGCCCTCGTAGGGCCGTAGGGCTTCCGCCCCCTCCGCCCCCCGATGTTGTAGCCATTTTGGCTCATGGCATTTCGGCTCAAAGGTACGCGGGCCAGCTGCAGCGCCCGCGATCCGCGGGAGGGGTGTGCCAAAATCGGCGTCGGGTCTCCGCGGCCTCTCGAGGTCTTTCAGGGTCTCTCCTGCAGGGGCACTCGTAGGGTTGTAGGGCTTCCGCCCCCTCCGCCCCCCGATGCTGTAGCCATTTTGGTTCATGGCATCTCGGCTCAAGGGCACGCGGGCCAGCTGCAGCGCCCGCGATCCGCGGGAGGGATGTGCCAAAATCGGCGTCGGGTCTCCGCGGCCTCTCGAGGTCTTTCGGGGTCTCTCCTGCAGGGACACTCGTAGGGTTGTAGGGCTTCCGCCCCCTCCGCCCCCCGATGCTGTAGCCATGTTGGTTCATGGCATCTCGGCTCAAGGGCGCGCGGGCCAGCTGCAGCGCCCGCGATCCGCGGGAGAGGTGTGCCGAAATCGACGTTGGGTCTCCGCGGCCTCTCGAGGTCTTTCGGGGTCTCTCCTGCAGGGGCCCTCGTAGGGCTGTAGGGCTTCCGCCCCCTCCGCCCCCCGATGCTGTAGCCAGTTTGGTTCATGGCATCTCGGCTCAAGGGCGCGCGGGCCAGCTGCAGCGCCCGCGATCCGCGGGAGAGGTGTGCCGAAATCGCGTTGGGTCTCCGCGGCCTCTCGAGGTCTTTCGGGGTCTCTCCTGCAGGGGCCCTCGTAGGGCTGTAGGGCTTCCGCCCCGTCCGCCCCCCGATGCTGTAGCCAGTTTGGTTCATGGCATTTCGGCTCAAGGGTACGCGGGCCAACTGCAGCGCCCGCGATCCGCGGGAGGGGTGTGCCGAAATCGGCGTCGGGTCTCCGCGGCCTCTCGAGGTCTTTCGGGGTCTCTCCTGCAGGGGCCCTCGTAGGGCTGTAGGGCTTCCGCCCCGTCCGCCCCCCGATGTTGTTGCCATTTAGGCTCATGGCATGTCGGCCCAAGGGTACGGGCCTGCCCCGCGACCCACCCCGCGACCCGCCAGCGACCCACCCGCGACCCACCCCGCGACCCACACCGCGACCCACCTCGCGACCCACCCGCGATCCACCCCGCGACTTGCCCGCGACCCACCCGCGACCCACCTGCGACCCACCCGCGATCCACCTTGCGGATAAGAGTGATGGGAGCGTGACGTTGTTTGTCGCAGTCGTAGTTGTGCTGATGGATGCCGTCGTGCAGGGCGTCATGGTGCCTGTCGCAGTCGTGCTAGCGTCGGCTATCGTGCTGGTCTTGATGTTGTTTGTCGTAGTCGCAATTGTGCTGCTGGATGCAATCGTGCTGGGCGTGATGCTGTGGACGTGCTTTTACGTGTTATGATGTCTACTTATTGGTTTACGTAGTGATTGTACATGTTGTTTTGATGTGGTGATTTTAACGTGGTGTTATGCTTTACAGGTTGCTTTGCGTATTGTGTTACGTATGTCTCATATCACGGTTAATGTGACATTTCGTTGCATTTACGTAGTGGTTTGCGTGTTGTTGTACGTAGTGTGGTACGTGTTGTTATTACGTGTTGTTCTTACGTGTTGATTTACGTGTTGTTGCTACGTGGGTTTAACGAATTGTCACGTGTATTACGCGTCCTCTTACCTCCTCGCACCCTCGCCCTCCTCCTACCTCGTCCTCCTCCTACCTCCTACACCCTCGCCCTCCTGTCCTATATCCTCGTACCTCCTCCTACCCGTTCGGCACACCCCTCACGCGGTTCGTGGCCCCATAAGGAACTACACCGAAGGCGCCAGCAGGGCCCGCATGCCTCCACCCCACCCATTTCGGCACACCACTCCCACGTTCCGTGGCCCCGTAGGGAGCTTCACCGAAGGCTCCCGTGGCAGGGCCCGCATGCCTCCACACACCAGGAAGCCCCAATGGCTGGACCCGCATGCCGCCACCCCACCCATGTCGGTACACCACTCACACGTGTCGTGGCCCCATAGGGAGCTCCACCGAATACGGTATTGACAACTGCGGTTTTCACAGCTGCATATGGCTGGGTCTTTCGCCAAGCTCACCCTTTTAAAAAAACGGGCGCGGTATAGGTGCGCATGACGGAACTAAGATTGGTAGTAGCAGCACTGATTCGCTAGTGGCGACACAGCACTTTATTATTCCATTGCGCCCCGAGTGGTTCCATGAACAGCGCAACGTTGTCTGCACTGTATATATATAAAATAGAGAGAGAGCTCTCTCGGGGCCGTCTTGGGCCATCTTGGAGCCAACTTGAGGCTTCAAGAGCCCGTTGGAAGAAGGACAGATGTGCGATCTAAACCACTCGCGCCCTAAAGGGCTGGTGGGATTCGGACTGCTGCGGTTTCCAGCTCCTGGACCTGATTGCGGAAAGTTGAGTGAACCTCATCACTTCGAGGAAGGAGAAGTCGGAACAAGGTTTCCGTAAGTGAACCTGCGGAAGGATCATTGTCTGTTTGGAATTCTGTATGTTTTCATGTCATCACGAAGGCATTCCCATTCTCATATTGACTTACAACTTTCAGCGACGGGTGTTTCGGCTCGATCAACGATGAAGGGCGCAGCGAAGTGTGATAAGCATTGTGGAATTCACTGTTTGGACTTCAGTGTGTTTTCATTTCGTCATGAGTGTATTCCCATTCCTCGTGTGGTTTCCGACATGCGGGGAGAAGGAGTTGTTGGCCATCTTGGAGAATCTTGGCCATCTTGGACATGCGCGGTTTGGCTGCCGGAACCGGAACCGGTATTGTATATATATATATATATATATATACATATATATATATATATATTCGGAATCGGCATCCGAAGAAATGCGGCTTTCGCGACCGCGCCGCCGACAAACACTTGTGCCAGCACCGCCGCCACTTTTCACCGTCACCATCACCGTTGCCACCCCTGCACCACCCACGCCCTTACATGCACCACGGTCCGCGGGGGAGGCGGAGAAGGAGGACGAGGAGGAGCAGCGGCAGCAGAAGAAGCGGGGGAGGTGGAGGAGGAGGAGTGGAGGAGCAGCTGAAGCAGGTCTCCCTGTGTGTCCTCTCCCTCGCTGGTACGTGGTGGTGATATGTCGTGGTGGTATGTGGTGGTGGTATGTGGTTGTGATTGGTATGTGATGGTGGTATGTGGTGGTGGTACGTGGTGGTGGTATGTGGTGGTGGTGTGTGGTGGTGGTATGTGGTGGTGGTGCGTGGTGGTGGTATGTGGTGGTGGTGGTGGTAAGTGGTGTTACGTGGTGGTAGTATGTGGTGGTAAGCGAAGGTAGGTGGTGGTAGGTGGTGGTAGTACGTGGTGGTAGGTGGTGGTAGTACGTGGTGGAAGGTGGTGGTAGGTGGTAGTGGGTGGTAGTGGGTGGTGGTGGGTTGTGGTGGATGGTGGTGGGAGGTGGTGGGTGGCGGTAGGTGGTGGTAGGTGGTAGGTGTTGGTAAGCGGCGGTAGGTGGTGGTAAATGAGGGTAAGTGGTGGGGTGTCGGTGTGCCGTGTGCGGCGTTTCGGTGCTAAAATGTGCCGCTCGTGCTCAAATGTGCTGTTTGCGGCGTTTCAATGTTGAAATTGCCGTTTGCGGCGTCGTGGCGTTTCCGTGTCAAATGTGCCGTTTGCGGCGTTTCAGTGCTGAAATGTGTTGGTTTGCGGCGTTTCAGTGCTCAAATGTGTTGTTTTTTGTTTTTCGGTGCTCATGCTGTATGCAACCTGTTGATGCTCAAATTTGCTGTTTGCGGCGTTTTGCCGTTTGCGGTGTTTTGGTGTAGACACTTGGCGGCACTCCCGTCCACGATATTGACGCTCCTTAACAAATATTGACGCTTCGCGTATCTCCACAAACCCGCGCGCGCCCAGGAATTTAGTCGCGGCCGCAGCCCGACCGTGACCGCCCGCCGTCGGCGCTTTCGCCTGCGGCTGTAAAACAAAAAAAAGTATCTCCACAAACCCATCCAGAAACAGTGCCCACGAGATCCGACGGGAGAAGGAACGGAAGAGACACAGAATGAAACAGCGCGGGCAACAAGGGTGAATTGAGAGATCCCTGGGAACCAGGGGTGTTGTTGCTGCTGGTGCTGCTGTTGATGCTGCAAGTGTTGCTGTCGGTGCTGCTGCTAGTGCTGCTGCTGCTGGTTAGTGATGGTGCTGGTGCTGCTTTTGCTGCTGCTGCTGCTGCTGGCGGTGGTGCTGCTGTCGGTGTTGGTGCTGCTGCTGGTGATGCTGGTGTTGGTGATATCTCGGGTTTTTTGGGGGGTTCTCTTTTGGCTGTCGCGGAGGCTTTGGCGTATTGTTGTGTTTTTTTTGCAGGGTCTTGGGCCCCTCCTGGGGAATCTCTCGGGGGCCCTGCTGGAAGCCAAGGCCCAACCTCTACAGCAATCCTAGCCCCTCCATAGCCATTTTGGCTCCAGAGGAGGCGCCGCAGCCGCGTCCCAGCGCTGGCGCGCCGCGGTTGCCGTCGTCAGATGGCAGCCGCCAGTGCGCCGCGGTCGCCGTCGTCGGATGGCTCTTGTCGCTCCTTGCTAGAACCCCTGCGGGAGCCAGGGGACGAGGCCAGCCTCGCGTCACTCGCGGCAAGTGATGGCCAGCACCGCGACGCCACGCTCTCGCTACCAGGAGCGCCTGCTGAGTGCTTGGTATGCGGACATGATGGCATCACTGCCGTTGTGTTCTCGAAAAGCAAAGAGGTCTTCACGTGCATGTGCAGGAACTCAAAGACCAAGCACACCATGGATTACTATTCAGGTACGTGGATGCCCACTGCCAAGAGGGCCCGGCTGGTGAGCACGCTGCCCGCCGCGCCAAAGCAGGGAGTTCCTCAGCAACGGTTTTGCGGACAGCACGAGGCCCCGAAGAAGACCTTGCACCCAGTCATACACGAACTCGTCCAAGCGCAGACCTGAAGCATCTCTGCAGAAGGCCGCAGTGAAGGCAAAGAACGAGGAGATTGCGATGCAAAAAGTACAGATGCAGAAGCAGGCGACAGAGCTGAACGACCTGAAGGAGAAAATGAGGTCCTCCCGCGACGTGTTTCGGAGGATGAAGGCCGCCGAAACGACCCAGCAGGAGACCATTGCAGCCAAGACCCGGGAGTTGGAGACTGCGAAGCGCATTCTGGAGCAGGAGAGGAAGGCCAAGCAGGTGGAACAGACGCAGCTGAAGGCAACCGAAAAGAAAGTGACCCGATTGTACGACGAGGTGGCCAGGGAGTCCGCTAATTTGACGGAGCAGAAGGAAGCAAATCGGCGAGCGCTCGAAAGCGAGGAGCAGTTGAAGGTCCTGATCGCCACGAGGGAACGAGATCTGGCAGAGTTGCAGGACTCCTTCCACGCCATCGTGGACAACAAAAACCTGCTTGAACGGCGGCTCGAAGAAATGCAGAAGCTTCTGGCGTCGCAGCAGGATGAAGCGGCGGAGGCACGAGCGCAGGCCGCCCTTGCAACCAAGGGCGAAGAGGAGGCCAAGCGGGAGCTGATGTTCTTGCGGGACCTCCAGGACGGGTCGCAACCGTCGACGGCGTGCCCGAACTCCGCATCGGCATCTGGTAGCATTTGCCCCAGCCTCGACGACGCCACGTTCGACGCAGTCTTCGGCGATGCGCCGGCCAGCGCTCCCTCCGGACTGTCGCCCAGTCTCGGCCCCGACGCAACGCCCGGGGGGCCGGCCACCGAAGATGGCGCCGACGAGGAGGAGCCAGGCGCAGACCCGGCCCCCGCGGCCATCGCCCAGGAAGTTGCAGAGGGCCCAGCCGCAGCGCCAGATCGAGACGAGCCACCACTAAAGAAGGGCAAGGTCGCTGCGCGCTGGGAGAAATTGGACAAAGCCTGGGACGAGTTTGACCAGGAGGTGGCAAGCAAGAAGATCGATTACGACGCGAGCGGGGCGCCGATCAAGTGGCACATTCAGTGCAAACGTTGCCTCCTGTGGCACGCGTGCAAGGCGCGGGACCCGAAGGAGCACCTCAACCACCTCAAGGCGTGCAAGTTCCCCGCCAGCACCGGCAGCAGCCAACTGGCCGCTTTTCCAGGGTGGATTCGGACGCAGAAGCCGCCCGTTGCAAGGGGGGAGATCGGCGACGCGCCCCCTGGCGATGTGGTCCCGCAGCCTATCGCCGCGTACCCTTGCTCCGGCGTCTGCGCCCACGGGGTGGTGGCGAAGCTCACTTGCCTCGCAGACTTGGAGTTGGAGTTTGCAGCGGCGGTGACGCAGAGGCCGACTGCGAGGCACCCCAAGCTGGAGCTCGCTTTCTTGGCGTTCGACACCTACGTCAAGTTCGACAAGCAGGCAAGCACCGCGTGTATCATGCGCAACGTGGAGTTGCCGACGGCCCCCACCGACGTCCCCCGTCTGTCTCGCTTGGCCGATTGCAAGCCCGTGTCGCGAGAGCGGCGTGACAAGCCGCGCGACGGCGACGCGACGTACGCCAGCCAGCTCTGGGAGCCGCACAAGTACACGTGCATGGCGTGCCAGACGCTGGAGGCCGACGTGATCCAGAATATGAACAACAAGATGAAGAACATCCTCCGGGCCCGCGTGGTGCTCGAGTACGTCACCCTCGTGAGATCTGCGCACGCCGCCGTCCTGTCTAAGCTCAAGTTCATGTCGGAGAAGAACTGCCCCGGCTTGGTCGGGTCCGCGCTTGACCGCTTGAAGCCCGTCGCCGCGGCGCGCGAGGCGTTCCTGAAGTTCCAGTCCGAGGATGGCGGTGCCATCGGAGCCGACGTGAGCCAGTCGGACTTGGCAATGTTGCGCCAGGCGCCCAGGGCCAAAACGTCTAGGACTTTGACCCGCGCTCCCATGCCCGACCGCCCCCCATGTTCGATTCCGCGGGGGCGGCGGAAGGCGGGCGCGGCGGGCGCGGTCGTAGATGTTTTGCCCGCCAGGCGAAGCACTTGCTGATCACGAACACCGGCACTTTCAGGGAGAAGGCGATCAAGGGCGCGTTTAAGGGTTACGTCAGCTATCTCTTCCGCACGCAGGTCTTGCAGCACGACGCCGACCGCGCGAAGCACGGGAACAGGTTCGAGGGCGGGTGGCAGAACTACGAGATGGCCGAATACCTCATGTCGTCGAGCAAGCAGGCGTTCACGCGGGCGAACTTGTTGGAAGGCGCCGCCCCGTCGCAGAGCACACTCAAGGCCCTCCTGCAAAAGTCGGAGAGGAGCTCCGGCAAGGCGGTGACCAACTACTTGGACCACAGCAAGCCGAGCTTGGACAGCATCGCAGACATGGTGTTCGGCAGCATGCGGCAGGAAGGGTCCGAGGCCGCGATCCTCGTGTGCGACGAGATCGTCGTGTTGAGGGCGGTCGTCTGGGACTTGGCTCTCAAGAGCTACGTCGGCTACGCGAAGAATGGCAAGTTTCTGCTCAGCGCGGAGGAGTACAAGACGATGCAGTTCAAGCAGGACGACTTGGCCCGCCTCGTGAAGTTCACCGCAGTCTTGCCCTTCGGCACTGGGGGCATCAGGGTATTGAGCATGCGTCCTGGCAAGGCGACTGGAGCGGACGAGATGGCATTCAACGCGGTGAACCTGCAGCACGCCAAGGAGGCCGCGCAGCGCCATGGCGTGACCCTCCTCGGCGGCTGCAACGACGGCATCGCGAAAGAGAAGGAGTGGTGGCGCCAGCACTTGTTGCGTCGCCTCGCCGCTGCGGAGGCGGGTGGCTTCCTGGTGGGCTTAGATGTGAAGCACCAGTCAAAGTGCGGCCGCGGGTCGATGTCATCTGGCCGCACCGCGTCGCCTTCAGGCGGATGGTTGGTCTCTTCGATTCGGACCTTTCTCCTGGTTGGCGTCCGGATGGATTGCGTGCGTGTCGTCGACGTCTTCTCGGACTTCAGGGTGCAGATGCTGTACAGGGCCTTGCCCCAGTTCTCGGCGCTCCTCGGCAGCGGAGTGCCCGTCGCGGAGATCCTCGGCACGTCGCTCTACACGCACGCCATCATGTGGATCGAGGTCGGAGTGTTGAGCCAGGTGGGCACGTTCTCTCGGAGGGACCGCATCCGCCTCGTCATCTCGGGTACCATCTTGGCGACGTCGTTCCACAACGCCAGGACGACCAACATCAATTTTGTCGGCGAAGGCTTGCCAGCCTCGCTTGTGATGTGCAGCGAACTCATGAAGAGGCCACACCGCTGGGGGAGCATGTACTTGGAATATTTGTTCTCGCTGTACCGGTGCAGGACCCCGTCGGACAACTTGACGTTGCTCATGCTCCGCCAATTGGCGCGCCGCACCCAGAAGTTGCAAGAGGTTTGCTGCGCCAGCGGCTTCAAGATGGGGGCAATGTCGCGGACTGACGCGTACTTGTCTTACGGGGAGGCCCTGTCCACCAAGTCCGGCGATTACCTCGCCGACCCCGGCGTGACTGACGACGAGTACATGGGGCTCTTTCACGAGGCAGTGGCCGCGATCCGCCCCGTGCTCCTGAGGCTCGGGTGGGCCGAGGCAGAGATGTCCCCGTTGTGCAGGGAGTTCGGCTCGATGCGCGAGCTCGGGAGTTCGGATGCCACTGCCCCGCCTTTGTCCCGGGCCGCGCCCGCCCAGGCCCTGGACTGGCGCACTGCCCCCCCCCCGCCACGGCAGGGCGGGGCGCGCGCTCCAGCTCAGCACCTGGCGCAGGCTCGGCTGGGGCCGTCGGCGGCGCATTGTCATTCGGCCCCTAGGAAAACTGTGGAAACCATGACGGCCACCAAGAAGGACGACGATTGGACCCACATCCACGAGCATTGCAAGATTACCGATGACCCCGAGGGCTTCGAGGCTCTTTCGGCCCAGGAGCAGCGACTCCGAGTTGCGGCGTCGACCCTCCAGGCGGCGGCGGACGACCTCGTCGAGCCAGCGGAGGAGCGGATCGAGAAGACGCTTTCGGTTGATTCTGCCAGCGCCCAGGCCGATTCCCGCGGGGGCCAAGGCAATGGTGTCGTCGGCGAGCTCGGCGCGGGTTCTGGGGGCGAGGACGAGGAGAGCGATTATTGCGTCGCGTACGAGCCTGGCTCGGGCCTCTTCCCGCTGATCCACAGCATGCGCAACTTGCGCCCCGACAGCATGGTTCATTGCTTGTCGGAGTTAGCGGCCCGATGCAACGTATTGCTGACCACCGACAAGCACAAGGGCATGGCGAACAAGCGGACGATCAAGGAGCGCCTGGCGCAGTCCTCCAAGAAGTTCGAGACTGAGCGCGGCAGCTGGGGCTACGTCAACTTGGTTTTTCTTCCCAAGGAAGACGGCGGCACCTTCGCCAGAATCGTGGCGCCCTTCAAGAAGGAGTACAAGAGCTTCCTGCTGATGGAGGAGCCCGACAACGAGGCTGCCAAGCTCAGGGAGCTGAAGAAGCTCAGCGACACTTCCACGAGATTCCACGTGGAGCTGGCGACGGTATCCACGGCGCGCTCCAACGGCGGGTCCACGTGTTGGGAGCCATGCAAGGCCAGCTCCGCCAGGCCGCGGGCCCGGTCAGTGTTCGCGGCGGATGCGTACGTCCTACCAGGCGTGCAGTTCTTCCCAGTTGCTTTTCCGACGAAGCCAGAGGCGGACCCGACGTTCTTCCACGTGCATGCGAACGTGGCCGAGTACTTGGCCGCGGAGGTGCAGGAGGGCAAGATCGACGAAGATGTGGATTCCAGGCGCGTGGGTTCCATCCTGAAGGCAATCGGCATCCTGGCGGGCTACGCCAAGCAAGTGGACATGACGACCGTGAAGGCCAGCCGCCTGGGCGTTCCACTGAAAAAATTGAAAGACGTCAGGCAGCCGCAGATCGCAAAGGCGGTGAAGGATTTGGTCTGCATGTACCCGGTGGCCCCGCGCGCAGGCGAGGTCTCATGAGGTCTGAGTGCGGGCGGCCCCGCGCGCTGGTTGCCGGAGCCTTTGCATATCGGCGCGCGTGCCCGCTGCGGACTGGCCGCGGGGGCGCGCGCCGCTGGGCCTCTATGACATTTCGAGCTGGGGGGCAGGAGCCCTCCAATTGGTCATGGTGCCCCCCATTCATCTGGTTCCCCGCCAATGGTGGTTGGGTCCTGGGCCCGCGGTGAATGGGAGGCGCTCTGTGCCAGGGGAGCCCTGCGGGCCCCCAGTCATTGTCACACGGACCAGCGCTTGACGCGATTTGACGCGCGACGTGTAGCTGATGCGATCATGGCCGACGGCCGCGGCTGAAAAGTCATGGCTGCGTGCATCCCGCCGTTGCTTTCCTTCGCCGCCTCTTCGGGCGCTGCCAGGGGGTCCTTGCCCCAGGTGGCTCCAGTGATTCCGAGGAGGCCAAGGTGCGAAGGTGGTTGCCACCCCGCCCTCACGATGCCCAGAGCGCCCCAGGGATCCGGGAATTGACGGACAGGTGGAGCACTTGGGGCCGCGGCCTCCTCTGATCTTGCCCGATCCTCGCCGTTTGTTGTTCACCTCGGCGCCCCGACCAGACCAGACGTTGTTGCGTAAGGTCCCAGTCGTCTGCGACGCCCGTCCTACTATGTCACCCAGCCCACGTACACGATAATAAACCTTCTGGATATACCGTTCATCGGGAACATCGACGGCCTAATTCTTGACGTTTCGCGCACCCCCACCAGCCTATCCAGAAACGACGCCCAGGCGATCTGAGGTGATCAGAGCAGGAACAGGAGGAGATGGGAAGCTCTCGGGCCGCTTGGACCCATCTTGGCGCGGTATTGGGGCTTCGTGGAGCTTGAAGCCATCTTGAGGCATCTTGGGCTATCAGCCATCTTGGAGGCCAGCTTGGGCTCTCCGAGGCGCTCTTGGAGCAATCTTGGGCCATCTTGGACGCTCCGACGCGTCGCGAACCCCCCCGTCCAAGTCCAGAGGGGGGATGCGGGGAGGGGCACGAGTCCGAACGAGCAGCCCGAGCGCGCGCCCCAAGCCCGAGCGCTTAGACCTGAGCTTGACCGAGCCCGCCCGAGCAAGAGCACGAGCCCGCGCCCCGAGCCCAAGCCCGAGCACGAGCACGAGCCCGAGCATGAACCCGAGCCCAGACCCGAGCCCGAGCTCGAGCGCGCGCCCCGAGCCCGAGCCTAGATCCGAGCCCGACCTCGACCGAGCCCCAGCGTGAGCACGAGCCCGAGCACGAGCCCGCGCTCCGAGCCCGAACCCGAGCCCGCGCTCCGACCCCGACCCCAATCCCCATTCCGACCCCGACCAACTCCCTCACCCCGCGATCCCGTTCCCGATACCGATCCCGAGCCGCAGCCCGAGCCTGCGCCCGCACCCGAACCCGAGCTCGGACTCCAGCGCGAACCGAAGCCCGAGCCCAAACCGAAGCCCGAGCCCGAGCCCGAGCCCGAGCCGAAACCCGAGCCCCAGCCCGAGCCCGAGCCCGAGCGCGAGCCAGGCCCGAACCGAAGCCCGAACCCGAGCCGACGCTCGAGCGCGAGTTTGAGCTCGAGCCCAAGCGCGAGTTTGAGCTCGAGCCCAAGCGGGAGCCGAAGCCCGAGCCGAAGCCCGAGCTCGAGCTCGAGCCCGAGCCCGAGCCCGAGCGCGAGCCCGAGTTTGAGCCCGAGCCCGAGCCCGAACCGAAACCCGAGCCCAAGCCCGAGCCTAAGCCCAAGCCGAACCCGAGCCCAGGCCCGAGCCCGACCGCGAGCTCGAGCCCAATCCCGAGCTCGCGCGAGCGCGAGCCGAGCGCGAAGGGACCGCGGAAGGGCGGCGGAACGGGCAGCCGAACCCGAGCCCAGGCCCGAGCGCGAGCTCGAGCCCAAGCCCGAGCCCGCGCGAGCGCGAGCTCGAGCCGAGCGCGCAGGGACCGCGGAAGGGCGGCGGAACGGGCGCGAGCCCGTTCCGCCGTTCGAACGCGAGCCCGAACCCGAACCGAAGCCCGAGCCCGAGCCCGAGCCGCGCGAGCCCGAGCCCAGCGCGAAGGGACCGCGGAAGGGCGGCGGAACGGGCGTGGTGGATGAGTGCGTAAGTGTGGCGGCGGGTGTGCAGGGAGATGGTGGGTGCGCGTGGGTGGGGCCAAGCGGGCGAGCAGCAGGTCGGCGGGCGGAAGTGGGCGAGTGGATGGTTGCAGATGGGCGCGGACGGGTGAGTGCGGGCGAGCACAGGCTGTACACTGACTGGGTTTCGCAATTCTAGACGCTTCGCGTATCCCCACCAGCCCGTCCAGAAATGAGCCCCAGAGGAGTGGAGGTGATGAGGGAAGCGGGGGAGCATGCAGAAGAACAAAGAGCGGGTTAAGCCGCCATGCGTTCCAAGAGGGGGAGGATGTAGGAGGAGTCGTCGTCGTCGGAGTAGGAGGAGGAAGACGAGGAGCAGGAGGAGGAGCAGGAGGAGGAGGGGGAGGAGGAAGAGGAGGAGGAGGAGGAGGAAGATGAGGAGGAGGAGATGGAGGAGGGCGAGGACGAGGAGGACGAGAAGGAGGAGGAGGAGGAGGAGGAGAAGGAGGAGGAGGAGGAGGGGGAGGGGGAGGAGGGAGGAAGGAGAAAAAGAGGAGGAGGAGGAGGACAATGGCGAGCTTGGGGGCCTCTTGGGCCGTCTTTGGGGCCTCTTGGCGGTCCCGGGTGCCTCTTGCGTATCTCGGGGAGCTTCTTGTGTCCTTTTGAGAGTCTCTTGGAGGCCTCTTGGAGGCCTCTTGGGGGCCTCTTGGGGCCTCTTGGGGCCCTCTTGGGGCGCTCTTGGGGCGCTCTTGGGAGCCTTCGGGGCGCTCTTGGGGCCATCTTGGAGGAGATCTATCAAGAAGGGGGGGTTGCTTATTAGCGTTGCCCCTCTAGAGTGCCTCGAATCGCCTCTTGGGCCTTCCTAGAGGCCAAAATCCGTCCAAAACCTAAGGAAAATCAATGTTTTTTGCTTTCTCGCCTTTTCGCTCTTGGAGCCGTCTTGGGCCATCTTGGGAGCATCTTGGGGCCTCTTGGGGGTCTCTTGGGGCCTCTTGGGGGCATCTTGGGGGCCTCTTGGGGCCTCTTGGGGCCCTCTTGGGGCGCTCTTGGGGCGCTCTTGGGGCGCTCTTGGGAGCCTTCGGGGCGCTCTTGGGGCCATCTTGGAGGAGATCGATCAAAGAAGGGAGGGTCGTATATTAGCGCTGCCCCTCTAGAGTGCCTCGAGTCGCCTCTTGGGCCCCCCAAGAGGCCAAAATCCTTCCAAAACCTAAGGAAAATCAATGTTTTTTGCTTTCTCGCCTTTTCGCTCTTGGAGCCGTCTTGGGCCATCTTGGACTCTCTTGGGGCCTCTTGGGGGTCTCTTGGCAGCCTCTTAGAGGCTTCTTGGGGGCCTCTTGGGGTCTCTGGGGCGCTCTTGGGGCGCTCTTGGGGCGCTCTTGGGAGCCTTCGGGGCGCTCTTGGGGCCATCTTGGAGGAGATCTATCAAAGAAGGGGGGAGCTCCAATTAGGGTTGCCCCTCTAGAGTGCCTCGAAGCGCCTCTTGGGCCCCCCCCAAGAGGCCAAAATCCTTCCAAAACCTAGGTAAAATCAATGTTTTTTGCTTTCGGCGAGCACAGGCTGTACACTGACTGGGTTTCGCAATTTTCAAGCCGCGTCGAACCGTCACACTTGTCTGATAAGCAGTTCGTTTTCGGGTGGTAGTGCATTCGGGGAGCGAGAACAATTCATATACGAATTTCCAAGCATTTCGTGGTCGACATGTAGCATCGCATGGTTCTAAACAAATCGGCAGAACATCATTTTTGCGAAACAATCCCAGCGGTTTGCATTCTACCACAAGTAAATTACGCAATACGATTCTGCAGATTAGGATGTTCTTCTGTTGCATTGAAAAGTACATAACGTCAAGAAATCGTGAGAACATAATTCGAAACAAGTTCAAGCTAGAGAATAGGGCTGGCGCAAATGAGAGCAAATTTGCACATTACTATCAGTTTTCACGGCAGCGCTTGAGAGCAAGAGAGGACATAAAAGACACGGAAAATATTTCCGAAAAAGTTCCGGAAATATGATGCTCAGAAATTCGATTCTAGCAAAGCGTTTTTTATTTGGTTTTCTCTGGGCCGAAATGTATGAATTCTCGAATTTTTGGTGACATTTGAAGCTTCGGTGGTTAAAATTGTTGTTTTGATCCCTCAAATTTGTTGTTCCTATCGTTTTGACGCGTCGATGTGCCGTTTGCGGCGTTTTCATGCTCAGATTTGGGATTTGCGACGTGCACAGTCAAAGTTGGTGTTTCCGGCGTTTCAGTGCTGAAATTGTTTTGAAGTATTTTGGATGCGGCGTGCGTGCTCAAATGCGTTTTCGATGTTGGCGTTTGGCTGCTCTAATTTGCGTTTTGCGAAGTTTGACGTTCTAATTTGGTGTTTCATCGTTCTGGTGTTCAAATTGTTTTTTCCCAGCGTTTTGGTGTTCAAATGTTGTTTCCGGCGTTGTGGTGCTTAGATGTGTGTGTCCAGCATTTTTGTGCGGCGTCTGCGTGCTCAAATTCCTTTTCGGTGTTCCGTTGGCGGCGATTGGTTGGTCTAATTTGCGGTTTGCGACGTTTGATGTTCAAGTTTGGTGTGTGCGTCGTTTGGATGCTCAAATTGTTTTTTCCATCGTTTCGTGCTCAAATGTGTTGTTTGCAGTGGCAGTTCTGGTGCTCAGATTTGTTGTTTCCAGCGTTTCGGTGCTTAAATTTGCCGTTTCGCAGCGTTTGCGTGCTTAAATATTTTTGTTTGCCCATGGTTAGATTTGTTGTGTGAGCATTTTTGTTCTTGAATTGGCGTTTCGCTGTTTTAATTTGTCAAACGACGCAAACACCAAATTTGAGCATCAATGTCGCAAACAGCAAATTAGACCAGTTAAACACCGCCAACGGCACACCAGGCAAATTTCAGCGAAAATGTTGCAAACAACCAATTTCAGCATCAC